CAGATTTTCATACGATCTCGGATCCCGTGATGGATTCCACAAACAATGTGTGGGGTGCTTAACCAAACTGTCAGTTGAGCATCTTATACTAAATTTTCCTGCATATCAAAACTTCCGAGATCAATACGGTATCGGTTCCAGCATCAGAGACGCCATTATCCAATGACCCAGACAGAGAAAGATCACTTCTCGACTTCCTTATAGACACCGGCTATTACCAATCTGCGTAGCACCCCGCAACGAACAATGACACGACAATGGACGAACGACGGCACTTGACCAACACCCTCGCCAACACCAGCTCTCTAAGTGACATGACAAACGGAAGAACAACGACGACAAACCCACAGGCTACGTACATTGACGATCTCTCGAAAATTAGTCACAGCTTGGTTCACTTACCTTATTCTTACAACAGTCGACACATAACTAGCCCCCTTCCCTTTAAGGAGACGAATCAGCTAAGGGCTGAAAGTCTCTATAATAAAGCAAAAGAAGAAGAACAAGTACCTGTCTGATAATGGAGTGTTCCTCCTCGCGAAAGCCGACTTGGCCTACCAGGAGGTTCCTTCGGTGGCCAGGGCTTGGAACTCACTTGAACTTTCAATTGACTTGATAGTTAAGAATAGTTTCCGGACGACTACTCCCCCGCACTGGGGTCAGTTATTAAACTGCAACGCACAAAGCTCAACAACCAGTTGCGCTACTCAGACGGATCACAAGTCCAGGGAGACTCGGAATCGGAGTTTCTGATCCTGATCTCAGCGTGTTTCAACGCCTTCCGAACCCATGACTTTTCGGCCGCAAGAAAGCTAATAATCATCTTTACCTGGATCACATACCGCTCTTTACTCTCAGATGAAACGATGTATGCCGACAACGATATGGAATTCGTAGGCATCGCTCTGGCTCCGAACGCGTTCCCTTTTTACTTGAAAGGGGCAAGGGACCCGGCGATAGGTCGCAAATTATCCTGTCTTCGCGGCGAACAGGAGCAACTGCGGCAACGCATGTTACAGCTTGCTCACGAAGGGCATCCAGGTGAATCAGTCATGAAAAGACGATTGCGAGATCGTGCATGGTGGCCTTCAATGGATCGAGAGACGAGGGAATGTTGTGCAGTATGTTGAAGGAGTCAACTAGTTGGACTTCCGAGCCGACCAGTACCAATGAGTCGCAGGCCGTGGGTTGATATTGCCATTGACTTCATGGGTCCTCTTCCTTCTGGCGAATACTTATTGGTAGTTATTGACTACTTCAGTAGGTACAAAGAGGTCGAAGTTATGACTCGACTAACTGCTCATGAAACTGTTGAACGCTTAAATAAATTTTTTACCCGTTTAGGGTATCCTAGAGCTATCACACTCGACAACGCCAAACAGTTCATTAGTAAGGAAATTGAAGATTACAGGAAAATTCACGGTATCATTCTCAATCATTCTGCACCATACTGGCCACAGGAGAATGGTTTAGTTGAGCGCCAAAATAGATCACTCTTGAAGAGGTTGCAAATCAGCCACGGGCTCGGCAGAGACTGGAAGAGTGATTTAAAAGACTACTTGATTATGTACTATACGACTTCGCATTCTACAACTGGGAAGACGCCAACGGAGTCATTCTGTGGAAGGACAATAAGGTCAAAGCTACCAGCTATGGACGATATTGAAACCGTACCTCCAACCTCTGATTATCGTGATCTAGATTTTCTAAACAAACAAAAAGGGAAAGAAAGAGAGGACATCAGACGAACGATGCGAAGGAGTCAAACATTGCGCAAGGTGATACAGTACTCATGGAAAATCTCATTCCAAGGAATAAGCTATCGACGACTTTCAAGAGAACAATCGATCTGGACCCAGAGCTACAATAGAAGATCAAGATTCCGGAAGAACAGTTACTTACGAAAGGAACGTGGCTCATCTGAAGAAGGTACGAAATGACGTGACATCATCACTGCAGGAAACATTGAACAACTCTGAAGCTTTAAAAGAAGATTTTGCAGGATTTACAGCTGAGGAGTGTGATGTTCCCATACCTGGTATTAAGATTTGAGTCATTACAAAATGGACTCACCGTCTTTGAGAAGTGAAGAGATTTTGTTAGTTTAATTGATTGTAATACATCCTAGAAAAAGGGAGATGTGCTATCTATAGCTGTAAGCTAGTAGTAGGCTACGACTTTATTAGATACGTAAGCTCGAGTAGAATAAATTGTGTATCTGGAAGAGTAAGACGTGTTTATTTACTTCTCTGTAAATCCGATTCCGGGAAGTGAATTAAGTAGTTGGTTCCTGTTCCGGAGTACCACAGTGTACAAGATGCCTTGCGGGAAGACCCCGCCAGATCTACTGCTCTCCACGGTTTCCTACACTAGTCCGGTTACTAATCGACACTCCACAGTCAGCTGCCAAGAGCGAAGAACCTTTTAGTACAACAGACTTCATAAGCCGTGTTTCAATGACGGCTGCTTGTAATTCTAACCGTGGCACTGACAACAACTTCATCGGTTGCAGTACTACTAACATCCACGAGAAACATGTGACATTCTAGCGAAGTTCCCTGTGGTTAGGAATACTTCTCCCACCGGGTAGCGTCTATCGCTATCGTCTTGTCGTGCACCGTAAAGGGTGCGACCTAACGGATCAAAAATGACCAGGTAGCATGGTCCATGGCGAAGCTCTTCATCGACTTCGAGTTCTGCTCTCCAATCTACCAGTGGCGTCCCGTAACCTCACTTTTTACCTGTGCACCAAATTTCAAAACCAGATTTAATGTATATATTCATACTCGAATCGGTTGAAAAATACACTTAATCTTCTAGTTTACTTGATATCTCCGGAGAACTTCGAAACTAGGGCGTAATTGCTTTTGTAAACAAACACTTCATTTGGCGATTTCTCACGAATTAAAGCTCAATCTAAAAAAACTAACAACACAAACAGGTAGATGAATGGTTCCTCTATCATTTGGGACAATTTATTCACGAGATTGTTCTTTTATTCGCGAGAATTCAACGATTGACATGTTTGCTTACGAAAGCAATTACGCCCAAATCTTAAAGATCTCTGGATCTATCAATTGCAAGCAATATTTTGATAATTGTTTATGTTTTGAGAGTTGGTGCACAGGTAGATTGTGGTTAAGGAAACGCCACTGCAATCTATAGTCGCTTTATTCATAGTCTGGCGGATAGAATCTCGGGAACCAATTGAGCTGTCAAATAGCGGAACCAATCGAGCAAATCACGACCAACAACAGAAAGAGCACATCAGTTATTGCGAACAAAAATTTCGGAAACCGTTTTCTCGTGATTCAAGGCTCGCCTACGCAAACTAACACTATCTTTGGATTTGGGAAAGGTTTTCCCTGTCCGATGATGCCGGTAATTTGCGTTCGATTGTCGAGGAAGGAATAATCAACGTTTTATTTATAAGAGTTGATAGGTCCTTTTCAATTGTTGGTCTACAATATATTGAATTGGTTCCGATTTTTGATAGATCGAAATTCTATCCGCCAGACTATAAAATATAGCGACTATACTGCAACCTGCTGCAGCACCTCTGAAAAGTTCGACATCCAACGTCGAATAAGAAAACCTTGACTCCCTTGACGTTCAATGTCAGCTTAACGTCTCCTTGGCCTTTAGGGCCTGTTCATAAACTACGTAGACATTTTTTTGGGATTATTGACCCCCCCTCCCCCTGCGTAGACAATTGTCCATACAAAAAATTTAAAATTTGTATGGGTCGTGGATAATTGTCAACCCCCCCCCCCCCCTAAACGGTCTACGTAGTTTATGGACAGCCTCTTATCAACGTTTCAAGGTTATATTTGTTGAATTACCAGTAAAATTATAAGCCGGGCACTCGGCTGTGCAAATCTCAGCAAAAAAAAAAATACCGAAAGTATCCCAAATTCAATGTTGTGGACAGCAGGATCTCTACATATCAAAAATCAGTAACCCGTTGATTCAAAGGGGAAGTTTGCCCGTAGGTCCAAATAAGAAGTATCGACTGAGGACTGATAATACAGTTCTAGATCTTTTAAATCTGAAATAAAAGTTCTTTTCGCATCTACATGCTCGCATCCTCACACAGGCAGTAGATTGAGGACTGCATTTAACCTTTTTCGATGGAAAGCTACGTACACTCGGAGCGGTTACTGCAACTATAAAGCAGCTGCAAAAAAAATGTGCCATCTACTACGAGGGCTTTAAAAGCCAATGTTTATGTTTGTGCCCACAGAAAGAACAGCGTGAAATAAACTCTAGGTTGATGCCCTTATTACGCACGAAGTTTCAAGTATCCAACAAACTGTTCGTCATAACACCTTTTTTTGAGCGCCACTGTTCCTCTTGTTATCGTCAAAGCCAAAGATTGAAAAGTCCAGCTATACACAGTACATTATTCCTAAGATTTCAGTAGTTTCTCAAATAACCGGAAAATAAATGTAGTCGTATCCACGTAGAACGGCAATTCCAACTAGTCGTACACAGCAAAAAAGTCCTAACAAATTTGGAACATTGACCATACTAATCTACATTAAAACGAGTAGAAACTAGACACTTTTTTTGATGCCACAACAACACGCTCTACTCTGCTGCCGTAAAATGATTTAGCATGGCATCACGGAAAGCGTAGTGAAAGGTTTCGTGATTTGACATATACCCCAGAAGGGGGGAGGGGGGACAACGCACGTGCACAATGCTTCTACGGACTCGGCGGAAAAAAGGTAACAAATTCTGCATTCAATTTGATGATGATTTCATTCAATTCGTAAAGGCAAACCCATAAAAGTAAAACAGCTAGTCGAATTTTACACTGTAGGGGGGGTTACCGAAAAAAGCAGCAACATTGAGAAACTTTTAACGATCTGCGCACACATTTTGTAACATCTAGGCTGCAGTTATTATTCTATTCTTTCTTTTTCCTGGATACCGAATACCTTAAGTTGTGATATTTAATTATTTCTATCTAACTAGCTATATGAATGGTTTCAAAGTTTTTCTTTTGCCAGAAGGTTTAACAATCAACGGTTGCAGCCATATTACAAATCGGATGCTGATTCTTATACAGTAATATACTAGTGTCCATCCAGTATGCGTTCGGTACCACGGTACAAGAAAATTAAGGAAAATACTAATGCGCTGCGCTCTCTATCAGAGCGAACTATGTGTGAGTGTGTGTGTGTGTGTCTCAGTGTGTAGCTATAGCAATTGTCGGGTTAAAGTTTTTCCTAGGTGTGATCTACACAATTTGATACTAGTCGTTTTATCAATGTCCAAATACAATGACAGACAAGAAATGTCTAGAGAGACGGCCGATTAGATTGCTTTGAAAGGAGAGTAAACTACTAGCGATTATAAACTTACTCTGGCCGGCAGATGAATTTGTTCTCCCTGCGATGATCCACCAACCGATGGAACGGAGGCCCATCCAGCCAAGGTGGTGGTAATGGTGGCGGAGCAGCAGCACGTCTAGTCGGGGATGCAGCATTGACCAGCACTCAGTTGTGCACAGTGGCCGAAGAGTGTTGCATGTTTCGTTCGAACTCTTCTAGACTCATGGCCTGGCCAACGTTGAGCGATGGTAACTTACCGGCCGAGGCCTGTGCGAGCAGTTCAGGTGAGAACCACCGGGCCAGTTGGTTGCTGGTAGGCGACAGACCTCCGTCGCGGTTGTAGTTGATAATTCCCGAAGCACCTGGCGTCTGCTGTGGACCCTGGTGGGAATGTTGACCTTGAGATTGCGGCTGCTGTGGTTGCTGAGGACCCATCCGGAACGACGGTGGAATCTGCTGCATGTGTTGATTGCGGATGGCACGCTGCTGTTGTTGTTGGCGTTGCTGCAGCAACTGCTGCAGGTGGGGATTCATCTGGGTCTGGTGTTGATTGTGGGGCTGTTGCTGCTGAAGCAATTGTTGCTGCTGCTGTTGCTGCGATTGGTGCGCTCCGAGTATCGGATTGCCACTGCGGCCTTGGAACTGCTGCATTTGCTGCTGGAATTCCAGGTTGGAAGCGAAAGACATCTGCGACATTGGTGAAGGGTGCGGCTGTTGCTGCGGTGGTTGTGGCTGGGTATTGCCGCCTATAAATGATTGACAGATATTAGTACAGGTATTAATAATCCTCTGTTCCGAATCATTTGAAAGAAGCCATATTTTGAACTTTTTATGTGTCCAGCCGGTGTCAAGCCATTAGGTCAATAGGATATTTTTCAGATTTTTTTTTTAAGTTTACAAAATTTCGAATGCCGTTGATCCCCGGTCTATAAGTTGATGGGTCGATAGATAGGGTCCACGTGTGGGAGCTGCCTCCCAGCATTAATACTCAGTACAAAAAAACAAACAAAGAAAAAAAAGTTTCCAAGATCTCTGATGGCTCCAAACATGAAAAAAAAATGCTAGGACCTGCTTTTCTAGATTCTGAAAAAAATATAGCTCCCGGACTTAGAAACATATGCAAGATCTCGGTCATAGCGAAATATTAACATGATTTTTTTTAGCTTAAGGGATTTTCTCTCCTTCCTTTCCAAGAAGGTTTTTCGTTGTTTTGAAATGGACAAAAATGTGTTCCAACGACTTCTAGGCTGTCTCCGGAAGAAAAACTTTGCGAAAAACACTACGTTCAAACCACAACAAGAGATTCGTATGGGCGCTATTTTATTAGATTGCCGTTTCGTGACAACATTGGTCAGCTTGGTGAAACGAAGCAGTATGCGTCGCAGCGCTTCTATCAACATGAAAAGCGTTTGAACAACAACGTGGTACTGAAGCGTGAATATGATGCTTTCATTGAGGAATACATTCGACTCAACCAATGTCGGGAGATTTTCGAGCCTGAGATAAGCAGCACACCGAACTACTTTTTGCCTCACCATGCGGTGTTGAAACCCACATCGTCTACTACGAAACTGCGAACAGTGTTTGATGCCTCTGCGAAATCGACTACAGGAGTTTCACTCAACGACGTCCAGATGACCGTCCGGTCGTTCAGGATCCATTATTGGATATAACAATTCGGTTTCGTATTCATCAGTACTACAAATGGTGAGTCGACAAACTGGAAGGAGTGTTGTCCCAACAGCTCTGGTCCTCACAAGTTCCTACCTCACGCTTCCACGGGTCAGCCGATGACAAAGACCGCCAGCAAAAGATGCTGGTAGCGTAGCCTGGGCAATGTCACCACGATAAAAACATGGATCCGGATCGTGGTGATAGCAAAGTGAGGAGGTGCGACCCTCGAGCGTCTGTTCACCATGGAGGTGCGGCTCAAACAGCGTCTGTCTCGGAGCGAGCGGCTGAATAAGAAATGCTGTATCACGTCAGCTACACCTAAGGTGGCAGCCCCACCAACATGATGTAGGTATCGCGACCCCGGTAAGGTAGCATACTGAAACCCCCAACATTACTCAGAAAAACGAAGAAAGAGAAAACAACGAACGGAATTTTCGGCAACCGACCCGGCAACGAAATAAGGACAATGAATGGAAACTCGGTACTTGGAATGTCAGAACCTTAAATGAACCTGGACGAGCGGGCCTTTTGGCTCGTGAACTGCAAAAAGTGAATGTGAGCGTAGCTGCTATTCAGGAAGTACGGTGGCCTAGATCCGGAGAACGTGAATTCCGGGCGGTGGATCCCATCGCCAACACTTCCTTCAAGTATCATATCTATCACAGCGGTGGCGATAGGGCAGAACATGGAGTAGGGTTCATAGTGATCGGGAAGCAGATGAAGCGTGTTATGCGGTGGAGACCGGTAAGCGACCGCATCTGTGTATTAAGGATTCGGGGCAAATTCTTCAACTACAGCCTGATCAACATCTATGCGTCAACCAACGATAAATCCGATGACGTGAAGGACGCGTTTTATGACAGTCTCGATAAAACTTATGATGAGTGCCCAAAACACGACGTGAAGATTGTAATCGGAGATGCAAATGCGCAGGTCGGGAGGGAAGATTTCTTTCGTCCAATCATTGGTACAGAGAGCCTACATACAGTAACCAATGATAACGGCCTGAAACTGATAAACTTCGCCGCTGCTAGAGGTATGGCCATCAGTAGCACCTACTTTGCACGCAAGAATATCCGAAAGCACACCTGGAGACACCCAAATGGCGAAACTTGCACCCAGATCGATCACATGTTGGTGGATGGCCGGCACTTCTCAGATGTCATTGATGTAAGAACTTTTAGGGGGCCTAACATTGACTCAGATCATTATCTTTTTGTCTGCAAAATTCGGGCGCGTCTATCGACCGTTACGAATTCAACGAACCGGAGATCGATGCGTTTCAATATCCATCGCTTGTCAGTAGAAGGTGTTGCTGCAGAGTACCGCCAGAAGCTTGATGAGCGGATTAGCGAAATCAACGTGAACGAGGACCTCAACAATCTGTTGAACACAATCCACGGAGCGGTGAACACAACAGCACAAGAAGTGATAGGTACAGCTCAAAGACGACCACGTAATGGCTGGTTTGATGAGGAGTGCCAGAGGTTGACGGATGAGAAGAACGTTGCCAGAAGCCGGATGTTAGTGTCTGGTACCCGGCTGAACAGAGAGCGGTACAAGGTAGCAAGGGCAGCTGAGAAACGAACCCACCGCAGAAAGAAAAGGCAATACGAAGAACGCGTGATTGCTGAGGCGCAAGAAAGTATGGAACAGAACGGTATGCGAAGGTTCTACGCGACTGTCAATGGTGTGCGGAGTAAAACAGCGCCATCTCTCGCCATGTGCAATGACCTTGAGGGGAATTTGCTGACAGATAAAACAATGGTGGCTGCCAGGTGGAAAGAACATTTTGAGACATTGTTGAATGGAGAGAGTGAGGGAGTATCGAGGAACAGAGTAAACATCGCAGACGACGATCAAGCTGTGGAGCCTCCAACGCTAGACGAGGTTAAAAAGGCAATACGTGAGCTGAAAAACAATAAGGCTGCTGGGAAGGACGAGCTCCCGGCCGAACTTTTCAAACACGGAAGTGAGCAGCTGCATCAAGCAATCTACCGTATTCTAACGAAGATATGGGAGGACGAAGAACTGCCTGCTAGCTGGTTGGATGGCCTCATTTGCCCATTATTCAAAAAAGGGCACAGACTCGAGTGCGCCAATTATCGAGGAATAACTCTTCTGAATTCGGCGTACAAAATACTGTCACGCGTTCTGTTTAACAGATTGAGACCGCTTGAGGAGTCCTTCGTCGGTGAATACCAGGCTGGTTTTCGTGAGGGCCGATCAACGACGGATCAAATGTTTACCCTGCGTCAAATCCTTGATAAATTCCGGGAGTACAACTTGCAGACTCACCATCTGTTTATTGATTTCAAAGCAGCATACGATTCAGTGAAGAGAAATGAGCTTTGACAGATTATGCTAGAACATGGTTTTCCGGCGAAACTAATTAGACTGATTCGCGCAACGCTAGATGGATCGAAATCAAGTGTAAGGGTTGCAGATGAGATTTCGACCTCGTTCGTGACCTTAGATGGATTGAAGCAGGGTGATGCACTTTCAAACTTACTGTTCAACATTGCTCTTGAAGGAGCGATTAGGAGAGCTGGTGTGCAGAGGAACGGTACCATCATCACACGATCGTACATGCTCCTTGCCTTTGCGGACGACATCGATATCATCGGAATTGACCGTAGAGCAGTGGAAGAGGCGTTTGTGCCTTTTAAGAGGGAGACGGCGAGGATTGGGCTCACGATAAGTTCTACCAAAACGAAGTACATGGTAGCCGGTAGACAGCGTGGGAGCAATAGTGGTGTTGGTAGTGTAGTGTTGTTAGATGGTGAACAATTTGAGGTAGTGGAAGAATTTGTGTAACTTGGAACACTAGTGACATGCGATAATGATGTTACCCGCGAGGTGAAGAGACGTATTGCAGCTGCAAACAGGGCCTTTTACGGATTACGTAGCCAGCTGAAGTCCCGTAGCCTGCAAACGAAAACGAAATTCGCTCTGTATAAGACGCTGATACTTCCGGTAGCCCTCTACGGCAACGAATCGTGGACGTTAAAAGAGTCTGACCGGAGAGCATTTGGTGTCTTCGAGCGTAAGGTGCTGCGAACAATACTCGGCGGTAAACAGGAGAATGGCATCTGGCGGCGTCGCATGAATCACGAGTTGTACCAAGTGTATAACGGTACGGATATAGTGAAGCTTATAAAATACGGCAGACTACGGTGGGCTGGGCATATAGTGCGGATGCCGGAAGAACGACAAGCAAATATTATATTCAGCAGAGAACCCGGTAGAGGTCGTCGACTCCGGGGTAGACCTCGGACACGTTGGCTATTTGCAGTTGAGGAGGACATCAGGTCGCTAAACGTTCATGGCGACTGGAAGCGATTGGCTCAGGACCGAGTCCAATGGAGAAGAGTACTTCGTTCGGCGTTGAATCAACCTGGCGATTCGTAGCCCATCAAGTATCAAGTAAGTATTCATCAGTACGTTTTCTCCTGTGATGTGCCCAAAATGTACAGGAAAATACGCATGGCTCGCGATGATACAATATTCCTCCGGGCATTTTATTTATTTATCACCGTCTTCGACTAGTCGTACAGACTGAACTATTTTACTTATAAACTAGAAATTACTACTAATCCTATTTCTAAAAACGTTTTTAGTCAACTTAAAATCGAATTCGTCACAGATAACATTGAACAAGCGAAGACACGAATCAAAAGGGTTGTTGTAGCCGTAGTTTGTTCTGTGGTATGGGACTGCTATTAAAGCTGAGCTCCGAAACCGTCGAGGAGGAATGTTGAGCGGGATCTGTGTGAGAAGTTCAGGGCAATCGATAGATCCTCCAATGACATCGAAAATAAATAGCCGCTGGTGTGGATGTCGGTGAACTCGGAAGCGTGGCGACGGATGAATCCCAGCACAGAAAAAGCTTTGGCAGTGGTAATGCTCACGTGTTCGTTGAATCTGAGCCTCGAATCGATGGTAACGCCAAGGTCACAGATGGACGACACACGTTCCAATGATGCAGTTTCCATTCTGAATTGATGAAGAATGGGGTTATTGCAGCGACCGAAGGTAATAACTTTGCACTTCATGTTATTGACCCGCATGC